GACTTTCGGCTCCCACCCGCGGCTGCCTTCGGGGGCAGTTCTAATCAATGCCTTATCCGCTTGGCAGCCTCTACCTCGGCAGCACGCACCGGAGAGAGCCATCAATGGGGAAGCGAGGCCCATAAATCAGAATGTCAGGTGGGCGTCGTTCCATTTTAATAACTAGTGTTTAGAGATTATTGGATAAAACATTTCATGGACATAAATTTATGATCCTCATATATCCCTCAAAGATGCCACCACATCCCGGTGGGACGATGACAGCCTTTGTTATTGTCTTCTAACAGCAGGGGTGACACATTAGTGACAGGAGAGCAAGCCACTGGCTCGTCTCTCTTCAGTCAAGCTTTAAAGGACTTCCTGAAGGCCCCCTTTTCCAACGCTAGTCACATAGAGTCTCCCTGTCTTTGAAAGTGCCCATCGCTGTGTATGTGTGCAAAGACTCACTTCCAAAGAGTCCCAACCCAAAAAGCACCTCGAAAGTTTCTCTGTCGATGTCTCTATGCACAGCTGGAATTATTAGCTCAAAAGAATTAACGTAAACAGCAAACAAGCGGGAGTATAAGGGGAAATGCCACTGCTCAAGAGTTCTCTCCCTTCTTTTTCTCTCGCGAGTGTGTCATCCGTGTGTTTGAAGTGTTCTGTTTCATTCTTCCTTCCTTCAAACTATTCCTGAGGGTTTCTGTGAAACTTCAGAACCAGGAGCAGGTCCTCGGTGGTGTCTTCATGAAAATGAATCTGTAGGGCAAACAGTCAGCTGGTACAACTTCCAAAGGAAGCGATGCCACTCCCAAGGGATTCTTAACGCCACGCAAAGGAATCACAGCACCTAGTAGCTATGTGGGCAGCATAAGTCAGCAGTGACAGAACTGAAGGCGTCTATCTGATCGTCCCCCTTGAAAGAGCCAACCGTCTTGGAATCTTCTGAGAAAGTAGGTCAGAGACGTTATGACCAGAGGCCAAAGGCAGAAGTGTGGCCTCCCCTGTCGGGAGGTGAGATATCAAGTGTGTCCTTGAGGTGTGTGTGTCCTGATCAAGGCACGTGTGCAGGTGAGACTGTGCAGTGACAGAGGAGCCACTGTCCGAGGTTCAAGTTGAATGTCGCTTCATATTAAATACCATGCATGCATTTCACTCAAGAACGGAGCTTTTTAAGGGAGTCATTATTGTGCTGCTCCTACACAGGCATCATGGAGAGATGAGGCCTGCATGTGCTTGCACATTCACAGATTCCTGCATGAACAAGAAAGGCAAAGGGCTCCCCTTCAGCGTGAGGCCACAAAATAAATATTGTCAAGTAAACAGGACACCAAGTGCAGCTCGAGTAATGACAGTGACCGCAGACGCCTCACAGATAGCCAAGAAGACGTATCTCACAGGGTTCCAGTCCCAGAAGGACGCACCCCGCCCATTCTGGATTATGTCTGTTCCTGCTGTGTTTATTGTCACAGGTGGCACTTGGTTAAATTTCCCAGGCAGTGTGTAAAAGGATCCAGTTGTGGTTCCTACTATCTCTTAATTGCCCTCAGCTCTGTTGTGAGAATCTGCCCCAGGCCATTTCTCCACCACAAGCTCATGCACTTTGCTCAAACCATCCTCAGAGGACACGTAAGGAGAGAGATGAGTTAAGCTCAGCCATGTTTTTTTAGTAATAAGATTGACATTGAAGAAAACTTGCAAAATGATTAATTGAATTCTTTTAGAAGCCCGGTTACCGGGTCTACCTTTCGTTGAGGTTGAAGAAAAGAAAACTAGCAGGGCAATCCTTTGGTTACCATGGAAGATTGCACACATGTACCTCTTCTCACGGAGCCACGGCTAATTTTGCATTTTCCACCTGCATGTCTGCCAGAGAGAGAGATTTCAGGGAGAAAGAGAGAAGGAGAGGGAGATAGAAATATCAATGATGAAAGAGAATCATTGATCGGGGGCCTCCTACACGCCCCCTGCTAGGCATGTACCCTTGACCGGATTTGAATCCAGGACCCTTCAGTCCACAGGCCAGTGCTCTATCCACTGAGCCAAACCAGCTAGAACCACTAAGAACATTTCCCTGAACTCTTGGTTTCTTCCTTTCCTTCAAGCAACTCCTGTCAAAGCATCCCAACCCTCTTGTCAAACCCCACAAGTAATTTCACTTCCGGACTAAGCATCAGAGCCCTGGTTACTTCTGCAGTCTGCCCCTCGTTCAGTCACACTCACCCTCTGAGATTAAACTCCTTACAAATGGCAGCCATTGCTCTCCTCACGCCTGAGGTTCTCCTCATTTCCCAGGGACAGCCAGCGTCAGCAAACTTGCTTCTAGACGCAGAGCAGGGCCCATACTTTTGCAGGCTTCAAGCCTTGCAGACAGCGGGCGTCTCCACTCCAGCCACCCTCGGGCTGTCTTAGAAAGCCGCCGTACCCAGCATGCACCCATTCAACAAATAGCTGTTGAGCTGCCAGGAACTATTCCTAGTCACTGGGGCATAACAGTGAACAAACAAAATCTCCACCTTCATGGGGAGCACATGCCAATGAGACAGAGGCGAGTTGAGACTTGAAACATGGGAACGTTGCTCTCTGTAAAAGTCCATGTCATAAGTGATTTGTGGGAATCCCATCCTTCTTTTATTTTTTAACTTTGTCTTTTATATGATGTGCCTGCCATTTTTTTTTTTTTTTTTAATCCTCACTCAAGGATATTTTTCCATTGATTTTTAGAGAGAGGGAAAGACAGAGAAAAATATTAATGTGAGAGGAACATATTGATTGGTTGCCTCCTGCACACTCTCTGACCAGGGCCCGGACTGGAGAGGAGCCTGCAACTGAAGTATTTGCCCTTGACCAGAATCCAACCGAGGATTCTTCAGTCCACAAGCCAATGCTCTATCCATTGAGCCAAACTGGCTAGGCCCTGACAATTTGTTGACATTCAAAATGGGAGGGTGTGGATAAAAGAATGTGAAGGAATTAGTGAAAAAAAAATTATATATATATATATATATATATATATATATATATATATATATATATATATATAAAACAAATAGACACAGAGACTATGTGGGGATAGCCATCGGGCAACGGAGGGGGGGCAGGGGTGCAGGTGGGCAAACGGTGGGGGAAATTGGGTGGAAAGAGACTTTGCTTGGGTCAGTGGGCACATGATACAGTGTCCAGATGATGTTTCATTGAGTTGTACACTTGAGACCTATATGGTTTTGCTAACCAATGTTACCCCAATAAATTCAATTTTTTAAAATGGGTGAGTGTGGAGAAAGCTTTAGGAAATGGAATCTGTTATTTCTTACCTCTACCAAGGATTTTATTGAACCAGACAATTCTGCTCTTTCCCCTTTGTTTCTAACCAGTTTAGAAAGGCTCAGGTATGAGTTATGAGTATGTGTCTGTAAGGGGGAGACACAGGACTGTGTCTTTGCAGAGAGTATCATAATTATACCATTCAGTGGTAATAAGTACAGAAATTTTTAATTTTCTCTATCAAAACTTTGTTCATTTAGCCTTTGTAGCAAGAAGTTAAAAATATATATATGTAGGCTCACTTTTCAAGCATGTATCTGATTATAATGTCAGTTTTTCAAAATTGCAAAATGAGAAGGGCAGTTCTTACTGTTAACATGAACTTTGCCTGAAGTTTAGATCCCAGACAGACTTCTAAAGTCACTAAATGTACTGGGCAGTCTACAACATAACCAGATAATGTCACCCCTTTGGTGGAAGCAGGTGGTATGGGCTCTGGCGCCGGGCCCACCTAGGCCTTCATGCAGAGCCCTAGTGCCCCAGGAAGTACAGGCCAAAGGCTGCTAATCTATGTCAGATCCTCCCGTTCATGCCTGAAAGACACCAAGACCCAAGGAGATGAAGTTATTTGCCAAAAGTCACTCACCACTTAGCATTACAGCAAGGACTGGGATTCAGGCTTCCAGTCACATGCTTTCTACTGTGCTGTTTCTTTTCATGAAAATGCAAAGGCACTTGGTTGGGTCTTGTTTTCCAATATTCAAATAGAAATATAAAAATCAAAGAGATTTTCATGCTAATGGGGTCCAAAGTCTGTCTACATTCAAATCTTCCCACTTAGCAACACTGGCAAACTATTCCTTTTGCTCTGTGGAGGCAGGTGCCCAGGCTCTGCCCCCTGATACATGGCAAGGGTCTAGAAGCTGGAGAGAGAGGTGTACTGGGCATAGTGTGTTGGGATGAGGGTGGGGGAGTCCTGAGCTGCTCTCCTCACCCTTAGTTCTAGGTGGGGGGTGAAGCATTCTTGTCCAGGAAACCCTGTTTAACAATAGGGGCTTGATAAGCTACACTTGGCATCATAATTCCCCTTGACAATTCTAAATGTGGCTCTAGTATACCACATCCCCTTTTTAATGCCCGCAAAGGATATACTAAACCACAGTTTTGTGAGTGGGTCCCCAGGAAGGCAGGCCCCTGCTTCCCTTCCTCAAAAATTATGTCCTCAGAAGAACTAGAGTGTACTTGGAACAGATACCAAGGTTGGCCTTATCTTTACTTCCAACAGCTAGTTGGGGAGGAAACCTGGTGAAGGCTCTACATGTGGTCCGACACTTGAGGACTTCCTGTTTTCTCTCCCCTGCCCCCACCTTTTATCTTCCAACCTGAGCACCAGGCTCCTTCTCAGTGGGATATTGGCAGGACCGAGCTGGGTAGGAGAGGAGTTCACAGTGACTTACTTTATAGAAGCAGTTCCTGGCCGATCTGAGCCACAGCCCACTTCCCCCTCTGCCTGTCACTGATAGAGCCCTTGCCAGAACCCTCCTAATCTTCCCATGGGGAGCCCTTGGCCTTATCCAGCTTGTGGGGAGAGGAAAGCCTTGACGGATAGACAATGAACTCTTCAAGTCCTAGAAAACTGAAGCCACAAACCTTGGGTTTCTATGACGCCCAAAACTGGCAGCACAGGCATTCTGGCCGCTCCGGCCTGTTTAGGGAATGCGTTACTAACATGAAATCTGCCTTGTCCATCTCTCCAGGAAGAGCACGAGATCCCCGCCAGCGTGTTTGCCAAAGAGCCCGTGTCCAGCCCCAACGAAGGGAAGGAGGAAGTTGCAGACGAGAACAAGTCTTTGGAGGAAACCTTGCACACAGTGGACCTCTCGTCGGAGGACGAGTTGGCCCACGGTGAGGAGGCCCTGGAAGACAGCGCAGAGGAAAGCCTGGGAGAGAGCAGAGCCGAGAAGATCAAAAGGTCCAGCCTCCGGAAGGTGGACAGCATCAAGAAGGCCTTCTCTCGCCAGAACATCGAGAAGCAGATGAACAAGCTGGGGACAAAGATCGTGTCTGTGGAGAGGAGGGAGAAGATCAAGAAATCATTCGCTTCCAACCACGAGAAAACATCCTCCGGGAAAAGCTCCCCCTTCAAGGTCTCCCCTCTCACTTTCGGGCGCAAGAAAGTCCGAGAGCTGGAAAGCGCTGGGGAGAACGAGGCCAAGTCTGAAGACGTGCCCAACGACCATGACCACGAGGGGAGCTCACTGGCCGAGGGTCTCTCCCAAGCATCCTTCTCCAGCGTCCTGGCTGAAGGGAAGGGGGCCGAGGGAGAGAGTGGGAGGGCAGCCTCACGAGGGAGTAACTCTGGCATGGACAGCAACGTGGACTTGACCATGGAGGTAGATGAGGAGTCGTTGGTGGCCCGGGAACAGGCACAGAAGGTGCGCTATGAGGACGGCTACAACTCCACGGAGGCAGAGCGGTCAGAAGAGGAGGCCGCCCAGCCCCCGGTGCTGCAGGTGGGCCACACGGCCTGAGCAGGAGGCCCACTGGGCCAGCGGCGCCTGCAGGCAGGTGGGGAGCCTAGAACACGTGTCCACACGTCTTTAGTGCTACCCACTCACTACTGTGTTGTTGTCCATGTAGCAGCACACACATGACCAAGATCCACTATGAAGGCAGCCTGTCGGGGGCTCCATTTCTAATTTGCTCCTAGGTCCTGTTCCTGTAGGATTTCTCCAAGATTGCCCCGAAGAAATGAAGCAGTTGAAAAACATAGATCAGTTTAGCTTAGATTAACCAGAGCCTACTGAAGACACTGGTCATGAAGGCTGATTGATTTGGGTCATTCCATAAGCTTGCTGCAGAGCATACCAGCAGCAGATGGAATTTCCCAGAACTCCGTGCACCTGTGAGCTATTTTTCAGGTGTGTGATGTATGATATACATGTGTGTTTAAGCTAAAGGGTAACTGCTTTTAAGGAAAAAAAAAGAAAAGAAAACACGTTTTCTAAAAGGTAACAGAAAAAGTTTGGTTGACCATCCACTTAATAGAAACCATTGTTTTCTTGAAAATAAAATAAAAACTGCAATTTTTAGCTAAAGAAGTAAGACATGTAGGAAATCAGGACTATTAGAAAAAGAAAACTAAGAAAGAGATGTGGGAAAATAGGAAAAACAGGAACAAAGAATGCCAAAGAAAATGAAGACAAAAAGAGAAAAAAAAGTATGTGCTTAGAAGTAGAATATTTACTATCTAAATTTAATATTTTGCTCTTTATAACAATACTAAAGAAGTTCTTATATCTGGAATAATGTTATATTTTCACAATATTTTTATTTTCTAACATTTTCAAATAATATAAAGATATTTTACTGTGTTCAAGGTGTATTTTTTCTTAATATATAAAAGACATTAGAAATATCCCTCCAAAGAAACTCAAAAGGATGTTGTCTCTTTAACACTGGGGATGAATATAAACATTCAAAATTAATTAATGCATACTGCTTTTTCTAGGAAGTTGGATCATACTAGTCTTTAATGTAATGTTTTCCAAATTTGAGCTTGCACTCAAAATGTAATGTTGGTTTATAGGGTATTAAAATTAACAGGTTTGGGAAAGGGAGGGCTTCTGTTTGTCCTTTTTTTTTTTTTTAGACATAATGATAATTTCCAGGTCATATTTTATTTATGTCAATTTCACATCATTTTAGTATGTTTATTACCTTTTTAAAGCACACTAGTATTTATGTAGATATGCACATATAGTCAGATAAGGTAATTTTTACTACTGCCTAACATTATACTAAAATGTTGCTTTATCTATTTTTAATTACTGAATGCTAATGTTTTGAGAATACTATGAAACTATAGTTTGAAGACAGGTAGCAGGGAGCAGATCCCTGCCTTTAGATTTCGCCCCTCACTATAGGTAGCTTTACAACTGTAGCTAATCCAACACAGTATTAACAAACTGCTTTGTCTTATAAAAGAGATATGTTTAACAAATGTATTGATGGCATAACCTATACAGCTATCCTTGTTTTTGCAATCATGTACCCCACGTATTTGATGGTTGAACAACAAAGGCTATATTAAAGAAGACTAAATAAACCAAAAATGAAAAGTGCCTAACAGTGTCAGTTTGTTGGCAGAACAGTTTTAGAACAAGCAGAGAGAATTGATTTCTTAAAACTCTCCTCCAAATATAGCTGTAATGTTGATTGTTTCCATCTTGATTTCCCCTATTAACTCGGCTTTCTCTTTTCCCTGATCTCATTTAGAATCTGAGTCTCATTCGTCAAGTTTAACTTTCTTGACATCACCTTGCCAGCTCTGGGGAGCAGCTGAATTGATTGCAGCTGCTTGATGAATTTGATATTTCCATCTGCATTTGTACTGTTTGGTACCAGGCCTCCTAATACTTTAGGCAGCCCTGCAAACACGAACGTATCTGGCTGGGCGTTCAGTGGTCCCACACCGATGACACTGTCTCCTGCACTGTCCCACGCCCCGTGGAAGACTTCATTTCGCACATGGCCCCCAGCATGCCTGTTCTACCTGCACTAGGTTGCTATCACTTCTTGCTGCCAAGGAGGTGAAGGGTCCAAGGTTAAAGTGATGACTACATTTCCTTTTCAAAAGATGTGCATGTCATGTAGTGAAAAACTGCACACAGGCATCTTTTCAGATTTTACTGAAAAACAATTTACTCTCTGCTCCACATTCGAGGCATTAAGATCCTAAGCAATAAACAGAGAACAAGGCCAGGTAATTGCTGGAAAGCACACACAGCCGGGATCACAGAGAGGAGCCGGTGAGGAAGCAGAAGCTGTTCCCTCAGTGTTATAGTTGAAGCATTTGCATTCTGGTGGGGCTGCAATGCCCCCAAATTAGACGTGCCTCCCCCCCCCCCAAACCCTCCCACCCGGCCACTAACCCATTTCTAACTTATGTGCCTGGCGCTCACGGGATTAGTTTCTCCCCAAAGGTTGGTTGTACATTAATAAGCACTGAGATCCCTATCTTAGAAACATAATTCAGGAGCAAGAAACTTCATTACATGGATCACAAATCTCACAGAAATACAGCAAAGATGTCACTTTTCTACGAGATTTTATTTTTTAAATATAGAGATACATATTTCAACAGGAGCATTTTTCTCTTTCCAATTAGGAATCCAGTCTATGTCTGAATTTCTTTATACACATGAAAATAAGAGACCCACACTGGGGCCAGTTCTGTACAACATAAAGATTTTTTTCACATTTATTGTGTGATGAAAGCCCAGAATGTTTCTGCTTTTGGGCAAAAAATATCAAGGTTTGAACCTCCTGCATTTCAGGCCAAGATCAGGAAACCGGAAGCTCCTTGGACAGAGCCAAGCGGCCAGTGTTGGTAAAGGTTATATTGAAAGTCATTCCCTCCATTAGGAGACTAATGCCCGGGCCCAGTTAATTCTTGCTTGAAAGTTTGTTTACTGCCCTCTGGTCCCAGCCTAAGTGATTTTATATTGGAGATGGAGAGCATGAGGGATCGAGGTGCAGGCGGCGATCATTATTAACAGTTCCATGGCAACCACCCGTCCTTCCCCAAAACCAACTCAAACACCACAAAGCTTCTCAGATGAAACTGGCGTGGTGACCTTTGTGTTGTGCTGGATCTGGGACTTCTGCAGCCAGGAGCTCATGCCTCTGAAGGGAACGGGCAGTAACTCCCATTATTGAAGAGAGAGTCTTCTTATTTTGGTTTTAAACATTGCATTGTCCTGAAGCACTGAAATTATTTTTAACTCTCCACTCAAACTTCCCAGAGAAGAAGCCAGACCTTTAGCAAAACAGCATGCTAGTCATACATTTAGACTAGTCACCATGAAACCAATTCATTAAATATTTATTAAGCAATGCAACAATTTGTTTCTCCCACTGGCTAAAACTTCTTAGTCCCCAAAGCAGGAAGACACAAGCCTGGGGGAGAGGGAACCAATATTTATATATTTTGGTCAGTCCTCACTAGAGGATATTTTTGCATTGATTTTAGAGAGAGCGGAGGGGAGGAGGAGAAAGAAACATGAATGTGAGAGACAGACACTGATTGGTTGCCTCCTGCACAGGCCCAACCAGGGCTGGAGGACGAGCCTACAACCCGGGTATGTGCCCTTGACCAGAATCAGCCAGGAACCCTTCAGTCCATAGACCAATGCTCTATCCACTGAGCCAAACCAGCTGGGGTCGGAACCAATCTTTTTGATAGCTTCTGTTACACCAGGCTGGGATCTCCAGTGCTCAGTTCCTGCATACCTATCACATGCTAGACACAAGCTCTATCTCATTCAATCAAACAAGTCCTATTAGAAAGGTGCTATTTTTGCACCTGAGACTTTTTTTAAATATATTTTATTGATTTTTTATAGAGAGGAAAACAGAGGGATAGAGAGTTAGAAACATCGATGAGAGAGAATTATCGATCAGCTGCCTCTTGCACACTGGGGATGTGCCCGCAACCAAGGTACATGCCCTTGACCGGAATCGAACCCAGGACCTTTCAGTCCGCAGGCCAACGCTCTATCCACTGAGCCAAACTGGTTTTGGCTGCACCTAAGACTTTTGACAATTCACTCCAACAAGTAAGATGAGGGAGGGAACTCCAGAATTCTTAACCACTCTAGGTTCCCACTCAGCGTGTTATAATTTAACTATATTTTCTTTGTTGGTCACAGAGTTAAAAGTCTGCCCCAAGTTCACGTAACTATTGAGTGTGAGAGTAAGTGCTCAACCCCAGCCTGAACTCTATGCTTTTGCCAAAGCAGACTCTTAATTGTATCATCCAACTGTGCTTAACGAAGAGTCACTTTACAAGCTCTCAGGTGGGGTAGTATTAATGTCACTATTTTGCCCCTGAGACAGCCGGTGTCACAGATAGCCAGGGTACATAAATGGTTTGGGAGATTGTGATTCAATGCTAAGAAAAAGCAGCTCCTGGGTCTTGGGGAGCCACACAGAGACTATTATTCCAGTTTGCAGAGGCCGCAGAGGGGCTCCCTGGCTCCGTGGCATTGTCCATTGTCAGGAGCGGCAGGGTTCACTTTGGGGCATGGCTTACTAAGGGCAGCTTGTCAACAGAGAGAGAGGTAGGGATTGGCTAATTCAAAGATCTGCTCCAACTTTGTACATTAAAGGAATCATCCCCTTCTGTCATGCTGGAGAAATCACCATATCCTGCCTGGACCAGTCTTCTGATAGGCTGAAAAGATATACAAGTGGCATGGGGTTGTGCAAGGGGAGGATGGCGGTTCAGAAGTACTATGAACCTTGAGGAGAGGAAGACCTAGCCCTGGTGATAATTCCTACAAAACCCTCCAGCTGTCTTCCCAAGGGAAATGGGAGCAAACGCTGGTGCCTCCATTTCTGTGCTCAAGCCACCAAAGGAAGCCCTCCAGGCCAGCACCTTCCCATCGAGACAGATGCTGCAGGCAGGCTTCTTCCAAAGGCTCTGGCAGTGGTCACAAACCCACGGGGGCTCACAATGAGCAAAATGGTGCCAGGAGGTGGCGACAATGGTGCCAAAGCTGCTGATGTGGGCCACGTCCTCTGGATGGGGCGCCCCTCTAACTCATCCGCCCAAAGGTGGTGCCTTTTTTTCAATTTCCAGAAAGGGATAGAACATTCTAGGAGCCGCCCAGGATTGGGGTAAACTATCAGCCACTACCAACTCACTTGCCTTGTCAGAAACCAAGCCCAGTGTTGCCAAAACCTCTACTTCTTTTAAGAAGGGCCAAAATTCAGTTTTCTTTCTACATGAAATCCTCTTTACTTTTCACTCATGGCAACTGGCTCAAATCATTTTAACCAGCATGCAAGCCGGTAGTGATTGTCTGCTCTCGAAGGATCCCTGGCATGGACCACAGTGTCTGATATCCAGTCTATAGAGATGAAGGCTCTGAATGCTCCTTCCCACCCTGAGGCACAGACTCAAGAGTAGAAGCTAGTCCCAGGATTGGCTTCGCCTTGATAAACAAAACACAAACCTTCTTAGGGAAATATAGAGTGCCAACGCACTCTTCCCAGAACTCTTAAGCAATGTTCTCTTACTGCTTCCCAAATTTGTAAGATGCCTGTTCATGCTGCATAGCTAGTGACTGGAGAGAGAGCCACCTATCACCTTGAAAGATGGTTAGAGGATCTATTCAGGTTCATCAGGTTATTTTGTTCATTAGATTCCACAGAGACATTGAAGCAAGCATGCAACAGACTGATGAACTTCAGAGGGAAAGGAAAGGGGGAAATCATTAACCAAAGAGCGCACATGCAGACAATAGGGCGGTGAAGGCCTAGGGAAGGGACGGGACCAGGATGGAGGGGATCAATGAGGGGAAAGGGGGGGACATCTGTAGTACTTTCCAACAATAAAGATGAATAAATAAAAAGAAAGATGGTCGTAGGTTCTCTAATGGCAAAGCACCACTTATTATTAGCATCGCTAACTACCTGTGGGTTGCCTGCAGAACACTTGTCTAAGGGATTGGTAGTTTTGGTAAACTGAGCATAGGATGTGACTATCTTATTTCTATGCTCCAGTTGAAAAATACCTACTATATATATATATATATATATATATATATATATATATATAGAGAGAGAGAGAGAGAGAGAGAGAGAATATTTTATATATATTTCTTTATATAATATTTTATATATATTTCTTTATATAATATTTTATATATATATTTCTTTATATAATATTTTATATATATTTCTTTATATAATATTTTATATATATTTCTTTATATAATATATATATATATTATATTTTTTCCAGTTGAAAATAAGAGTGTAATATGCTCAATAGACTGGACATCCTTCCAGATGACCTTCAGGACGAAGCCGGAGCTGCAAGGGAGGCCCAGGTCACAGGTGCCTGCCTGCGGCCAGAGGAAGCCTGGGTCCCAGGTGCCAGAGGGTAGCCGGGGACGGCAGCCGGGGGAAGGAAGACCTACTCTTGCACAGATTTTGTGCATGGAGTCTCTAGTATATATATCCTTGTCAATAACCTAGAGGTCCTACAGAGGACAAAGCAGCAAGTCTGCATTCTCTCTGCAATATATTACAGCAACACTGCCAGCCGACACTCCATTCTTCAACTCTTTATTGTTCGTAATGAGGCACTAAAGGGAAAAACACAGCTCAATTTTTCGGATGCTAAATTGAGCCTTCAGAGCTCAGAATTTGGGGGGAAACTGTCACAGGTGCAGCGCAAGGGGCAACGACCCTTTGTCAAGGAGGAACCGGCAGCCACCAGACCTCTTAAGCTGCACAGGGATTCGCTGCGCTCTCCAAGGGGCACTGTCCACTGCCTCCAGAATCCCAGGGACACGCAGGGAAGACCTTGTGAACGTGCCTTACTTAAAAAATCAAATTTTCTACGGACCTTCCATCAATAATTTAAAATCCCCAAGGAATAAAAGGATGAGTGGAGAAAAACAGTACCTCAGTTTATGAGCCTGCCCTTGAAATTAGCCAGAGAAAGGGAGACTGAAGCTCACTGGGTATCATTTCAGAACAACCTTTCCTTTCCTCTTTTTCTTTCCGAACTAAAAATAGCTTTCCCAGCTACCTTGTAACTAGACATTTCAGAGATAAATAAAAGCAGGGAGGTGTGAACTGTCCAATAACCACAGGCAGTTTTTGTCTGCAAGAGAAGTTTCCCCAGTCAAGGTATCCCCTTTGTTTTATTAGCATATATTATGTGTACTGGGCATTTATATGCCAGGCCCTGTGCCGGACCTGCAGATACAACGGAGAATAAGAGAAAGTCTTTGCCGTCCAGGAACTATGTGTTGAGGAGGCAGAGAGTGCTGAGAATCTCCACATTAAGATTTCTAGCCTGGTCGCATGGCTCAGACTCAGTAGTTGAGTGTCGACTTATGAGCCAGGAGGTCACAGTTTGATTCCCAGTCAGGGTACATCCCAGATTGGGGGCTCGATCCCCAGTGTGGGGCCTGCAGGAGGCAGCCTATCAATGATTCTGTCTCATCATTGATGTGTCTATCTCTCTCCCTCTCCTTTCCTCTCTGAAATCAATAAAAAATGTTTTTGGTTTTTTTTTAATATTTCGAACTTATAATAGCAGAGCAAAAGGGAACAAATAATTTGAAAGAAAAAGAAATTAGCCTGGCGAGTGTGTAGGCGCGGTCGAGAGGGGGGTGGGGAGGGTGGGGACGGCGCTGCAAGATGCCGGCTATGAGTTTGATATATGCTTCCCCTCATTGCAGAAGAGGGCAGGCCGGACCCTCTGGACAGTGCCAGGCCACTGACCCCCCTGTGACTGCCTGAGTGAGGAGCTGGCAGATCGATGAGCAGCACTGTGAAGGGCAGCCTGGCCTTAGAGCAGAAACCGCTGCCAAGCAGGGCGAGGCCAGGTAACGGTCTGGAGGCACTCCTCTGATAGCTCACCACCGCCGATGGAGCCCACCTGTCCTCTAAGCCACATCCGCAAGGACCGCGGGTGTGAAGCCTCTCTGGAGAGCAGCTGCCCTCCTGGGAGGGTCTGAAGGACAGCACTGCCAGCACTCTGCCCTTTGGAATGAAGACATCGTGCCCCCATCAAGGAGGGGACACGGGTACTGATTGCAGCCCCTGGCAGCAGCCTTCTGGGCCTTGTCAGACATTAGGGGGCCTTCTGAAGAGGAGATCATGGAGCTGCACCTGCCGACTGGGCTTCCCATGCCTGTGAATTGGACAAGAACTTGAAGCCCATCGAGCCCATGCAGTTCCTGGGGGTGAAGAGCTCATGGGTAAAGCCACGGAGGCTGTGGTGCCCAGGGCAAGGCCAGGAAGTGAAGGTGAGCAGGCGGATGACCCTCCCAAGGTCAACTCCCTCCCAGCCCAGCCCTCTGCATGCCCATGCACACAGGCCACACTGGCTGCATCTGTAGGCATCTGAGGGTGCAGCTGCAGATAGGGGAGGGTGGCTCCCTATTTTGTTTTAGCCATTTTGTCTTTCATATACACTCCCTTCATGCAACCCAGTCAGAATGGCACCTCTAGGGCCTTGGGCCTCGTCCAAGCCGAGAAAGACTCTTACCTAAGAGAGTTCAGAGGTGGTAACTCGGTTTTTGTTTTGTCACTTGAGCCCAGTAAGCATTTGGGGCCTAACTACTAAATCTTTTTCAGATCAGTATAATAAAGGAGGGATGTGCAATAAGAATAAATGAATAAAAATAAAAATAAGAAGTCTTCAGCCTTAAGAAAACTGTTATTTGAGAAAAGTCACTCAAGATAGCTCATGGCGTGTGAGATCATACATGTCCAGGCTAGACATGGAAGGAGGCTAACCTGTGGAGGCTGAAGGTTTGGAGACAAAGAGTACACAGGAATAGAAATTTCTCTGCTCTGAAATGAGAAGCAAAATGGTGGAAGGGAAAATCTGAGGGGGAAAATCTACAGTTTCTAAAATGCAACATTGACAGTGAGTGCATTCATTCGTTCTAATTAACAAGCCAGTGTGGAGCCTGTGTGGAGCAAAGGAAGGGTGCCAAAGAAGGAGGAAGATAAGAAGGAAAAGAGGGGAGAGAGGAGGAGGAAGAGGAAGGAAACAGAAAGGAGGAATAAATCAATTAAAGGGAAACTGAAGTCTAGAATTCATTTGTGCTTCAGAGCAGGGAGAAAGCCTCACCTCCAACCATTACCACCTCTCTTCTCCATAGCAACATCAAAGAGATAGAAAGGATTTTCTTTTTTCCACAAAAGATGCATTTTTTCCCACAAAAGATGCATTTCTTTCTAATTATTGTCATCCTAAAGTTTTTAAACTCTCCTGTTTG